TTGAGTTTATATTCATAGTATCTCTTCACCTTGTCAGAGATTTAAAGGCTGATGGACTACATCCTAATTTGATACGTTATAATACCTACAGCTGCCCTTTATAAAACATGATTCAATGGTTGCAGTTTCAATTCTAAGCTAGACTCTGGTTTTATGGACTATGGCCAGAACATTACACATGGCCATAGGTGCAAGGTCTCATGTATGTGGTTGAGTATGTCTTTTTAATTTAACACTATGAGTCTGGCAATGGTACTAGTACATACAATGTTGTTTATCTTCTAATTTACAAAAATTATCTCATAAGGACTAACTGTGCTAGAAGAATGAATCTTTCACTGTCTGACAGCTCAGAGCTTCTAGTTATATTTCCTTTTATTAGAGGCCTCTACCTTATAGTACTCCAATGCTGCACTGTCTCTCAGATAGCTTGGTAGCTCTTGCATTTCAATTTGCTGTCCATGAGAGTCTGTTATAATACTGTGTATGATATTTACATAACTCCTTTCATACACATCAGAGATCAACACATTATGACCCTAAATACACTGCATAGTGTGAATGTCTCATGCAGAAAAGAACTGGTATTCTGTAGACTTCTTAGCAGAGCCCAAGCAAAATGGCTAGACCTGGACAAAGTAAGAGTTCACAAACCATGTACAAGTAAAGCAAAAATTATATAACTTAAATTAATGACAAATCCAAAAGTTACAGAAATACTGTAATTTACATATAAGACACATTACTTATTTACTCATGGAGCTGAGCCCTTCTGGAGGAGCCGCCAATTCTGCAGCTACTCAAGAATTTCCCAGCATTTTATGGAACCTGAAGGTTCATTACCATATTCACAAGAGCTCTCCACTGGTCCCTATCCTGAGCCAGATCTATCCAATCCATACCATCCCATCCTCTCTCTCCAAAAGCCATTCTAATATTGTCCACCCACCTATGCCTTGGTCTTCCCAGTGGTCTCTTTCCTTCTGGCTTTCCAATATCCTATACGCATTCCCCTTCTCCACCATTTGTGCTACATGACCTGCCCACCTCATCCACCTTGACTTGATCATTCTAATTATACTTGGAGAAGAGTACAAGTTATGAAGCTCCTCATTACGCAGTTTTCTCCAACCTCCTGTCACTTCATCTCTCTTCAGTCCAAATATTCTCCTTAACACCTTGTTCTCAAACACTCTCAGTCTATGTACCTCCCTTAATGTCAGAGACCAAGTTTCACACCCATACAGAACCACAGGCAAAATTATAGTTCTGTATATTCTAATTTTTATGTTTTTGGACAACAGACGAGAAGACAAAAGGTTCTGGACTGAATGGTAATAAGACACATTACAGTACACAAAATTTAATACTACTTTTTACATAATTACAGTGTAATTTACTTATTTACAAAAATAATTTACTACATTAAGATACATTCCAAGTGCAATAGTTCTAACTTTCAAATGTGTACAGAGTTATATATAAATGTCATGCTAAAGCATATAAAAGTTTGAAGGTGATTATACCAAAAAGAGTACAGTGATTACTTGCAACTAGGAGAAGAGACATGACCAAAGGCTTCTCTTTTCGATGAGTTACAGATCACACAATTACCCTGGAAAATGAAAGCCATTATTCATATTTCAATGCGTAATATTTATTCATAATTCACAACACAGAATCAACTACAAAAAATATAGAAAGGACCTTAGACAAGGTAATTTTAAATTGCATTGTTTCTTGATTTATTTAATAATGCTTTGCAAGCACTATAAACTGTACATAACTTGAAGGGATTCTGACGATGGTGTATAATGTACTTCTTTTTGCTTATTTTGGACTTCACCCATCGTCCGGTATCTAAAAGACAAAAAAACCACGACGTTTCGGAGACTGGATCTGTCTCCATCTTCAGGTGTCTTTTATATACCGGACGATGGGTGAAGTCCAAAATAAGCCAAAAGATGTACAAAACTGTTGAATTGGAAAGAATGTGGAAGTGACTGTGACCCATTTTAAGGCACCATCCCAACATTTGCCTAATTTTTAATTAGATACATTTTTTATTCATTGCAGGGAGTGACCAGTGAAGGTATATCAAGAATTCTGATATATGATGGTATCATGAAGCATGGAACCATTATTCCTAACATCTGTTCTCTGGTCTTAGTACAATTCAGTACCAAAGCCTTTACTGCAGTGTTTTCACTACAGCAGGCATTCAAGCCCAGCATACATCACATGAACCTTGAACTATGAATATCAAAATATTAAACTGCATTGCATTTCCTGGATCAAAATTAGTCAAAATGACTGTAGGATGCGAAATATGTCATATAAATACAAAAAAGTATGTTCTGTACAATTTTCATACAAAACCCAAGAAAACACAGTGGTTACACATGAGGCTATTAAAAATATACATCCACATATATACTTCAATACTGTCAACTTATGCAATTTACACAACCTTTAAATGGATGAGTCACTTTTTAGACAATAAGTATTCATCAACAAAGTAGAATGAGTGTGTCTTTAAGTATCGTTGTAATGCTAATTTTTGTGTTTTTCCATTCATAAGACTCTTGAGATCAGGTGACAGATTATTGAAAATTTTGATTCTGGAATAATATGTGCTTCTCTGAAAGCATGAGAGGTTAGCGGTTGGTTTATGAGGACAGTGCTTGTGTCTTGTGTTAACACTATGTACATCTGCATTGGTCTGAAAACGTTCTTTATTTGTAATGAAGTTTATTAATGAAAATATACATTCACATGGAAGAGTTAAGATCTCTAGTCTCTTAAACAGATCTCTGCAAGAATTACAGGATTTGACACCCATCATGAGTCTAACAATTTTCTCTTGCAATGTAAATACCTTTATACTGTCAGATGAATTACCCCAGAAGATCATTCCATACTTCACTATAGAGTGAAAGCAAGTAAAACAGTAAAATTATTTGAGAGAGTGAGTGTTCCTGATATGGAACATAGATCTAATTGCATAGTATGCTCCACTTAGCTTTGGAACCAATGGATCGATATGGTTTTTCTAGTTTAAATGATTATCAATTTGTAAGCCACAGAATTTTGTATTTACTGCCTCTTCTATATATATTTATCATTATATCCAATGTTTAGCGGAAATTGTGGTGAACTTTTTGTTACAAATTTTATTACATTTGTTTTATCTAATGCAGAAAACCATTTAATCATTTGAGAGAGAACTTTATTTGATAGTATAGAGAAATCATCTGATTTTTTACTAGAAATTATGGTGCTAGTGTCATCAGCAAATATTATGGGTACCGATGAGGTGTTTAGTGTAGGAAGGAGGTCATTTATATACATAAGGAAAAGCAAAGGCCCTAAAATTGACTACTGTGGAACTTCATGCTTTATTGTTCCCCAGTCCGAGTACATATTTTTGGTTAAATCCGACGATTTTATTTCAATCTTGTGTTTTCTGTTAGGTAGAATCTGAATCAACTTGCTGTTGCACCTTAAATGCCAAAAAATTGTAATTCAGTTAACAGTAGTTTGTGATTTACATTCAAAAGCTTCTACCAAATCATAGAATATTTCACCTACACACATTTTTTTATTAACAGGCTTTAATACACTGTCTTTTAGCTTAGATGCTGCATTTTCTGTGGATATTCCTTTCGTGAGGCCAAACTGTTCTGGTACAAGTATATCATTACTCTGCAAAAAAATGGCTTACCCTATTCTGTATAACTTTCTCAAGTATTTTAGAGAAAGTAGTTAATAGTGAAACTGGCCTGTAGTTTGACATACTAGTTTTGTCATTATATGTTTCTGCCTAACTAGCCATCATCAGGTGTACAGGTTGTTGTGCGGAAGAACTCTGCTGCTGACTGTAATGCTGTTTTTTTTTCTTATGTAGTTGCCTCTGATTCTAGGTTATGTGGGTTAACCAGCTGTTTTATTTGAGTCTCCTTGAACAATCGCTATGCAAGAGTTTGCCTTATCTGTAATATGTGAAGTGTTATGTTAGGGCTTAATTTTAAGGTACATATGTAGTATGTATATTCAGTACACCTGATGATGGCCAGTTAGACCAAAACATGTAGTGGTGACAATGATGAGAAAATGAGAAGAGACTATTAACCGATGCTGCACATTTTTATTATTGTTGTTGTTGTTGTTATCATCATCATCATCATTGGCCCTACAACCATTAGTGCCTTGGCCTGCTCTAAAAACTTTCTCCAGCCATCCCACTCTTGTGAATTTGCTTTCCAAATCCTCCTCCACACCATCCATCCATCTCATTCTTGGTCTACCTTTCTCCCTTTTCCCTTCCAGTTTTAAAATTATTAATATTTTTATAATTTCTTCATTTTCTCTCCTTATAACACATTAATTATATCAACACCATTAAATAAACTATATAATTCCTTATTGTAACATCCTCGTCAGAACCAACCAATTTATACTGCTCCACAGATTCTCCTTAAAATCTTTCTCTCAAAACCTTCAAGAAGTGTGTCATGTGCCTTGCTCAGAACCTAGCTCTCAGATCCATACAGCACTGTTGGAAGTATAATAGTTTTATACAGCTGACATTTAGTTTTCCTCTTTAGTAATTGAGATTTCATTGGTTTCAACATTCCATAATAACATCTATTTCCTATTATAATTCTGCATTTGCACATAGACGGCAAAAAAGGTGATGTAATTTAACACTATGTATATCTTTCGTAAGGAGTGTACTTGTTTTTTACGGTTATTTTCATTTAAATAGTATACGTTTATGTTTCTGTAAATTATAAACTCAGATTTTGGATTGTATAGATATTTTAAAGTTGCATACTTCTTTGGCATATGGTATAATCAAAGTGACTTCTAAACCATGTAGCTAGGTAAAGGTAAAGCTATCCCTGTAACAGGCCATGAAGGTCCACAGGGTTGTGAGACATCAAGGGTCCCACATTATATAGACAATCAGCTCACAGATAGCAGTGATGTCAGCTTTACATGCCTGCCACCCTTTACCCCCCAGGAAAATTCCTGGTACTCATTTCTGTTAGAGGCTGAGTAAACCCCATGGCTATAGTGCAAGTACCTAGAAATAAATTAACTGACCATGCTGTGCAATTTTATCATCATACTAGTTTTCAATGTAATAGGTAATGTGATCAAATAATTTCTGGACTGTGCTTTTCTTCTGTCATACTGACACCCTCTATTTGATGCTGTCAGATCTGAAGTAGTTCTCATGCAACTTGATGTAGAAAGTCTAGTGATTATGCCATTATTGGAAGCATTTGCAGAAGTCATGTATTTTGAACAACGTTAAATCTTTTCTCTTAAATGCCAACTTGAGTTTAGGAAATATAGAAAGGCCACACAGGGATGTGTAGGTCTCTCTGAAGTATTTTATGGAAGGACTGACTACAATTCTGCTCTCATTCATCAATTAACGGACAAAGCACAAGTTTGCTGCAATCCATTACGTGCTCAGTTGTGTAAAAATGCTTCGGTATGATCCAAACTGAGTTCCCCACATCACCAGCAAAGTCATGGATAGTGACACATCTGTTTTCATCAACAAGTTCCTGATTCATGCCTTATTTTGACGTTTTGCTCTTGGATGAAGTCTTATGTGCTCAGCATTATCATCATATGTAACTCAATTTTAGAGTTCTGGAAAAGCAATAAAGTACTGGAATTCTGTTCATACTCCCTCTGTGAAAGCAAGTCTTTTCATCTGTATGTTTCTGTATCAGTTTTACATGCTTGCATCTCACTTATGTTCTATTTAAATTGTAAATAAGAGCCTTAACACAAAATTATACATAAAAGACAATATTTAATTATTTCTTATTCACTATGAATAAGAAATAATTAAACACTGTCTTAACACAAACTTATAGAGGGCAAAACACCCATCAGTTTATAGGGTGTTACTTCTGAACAATGCAAGCTACAATTTTTACTCACAAAATTCTACATTATCTCCATCTAAATGAAGGATGACCACATTGTGGCCAGTCTGGAAACTGATCACAGCAAATACTGTCTGCTTAGCTTGCTATAATGTGGAGGCAATTCCTTCCTATTTTTGGACCAGACTGGCAAAAGTTTGTACTATTACACAATTACTACACAATTAGAGCACTTATCATATTACTAGAAATCACTGAAGTGCATTTCTTATTTCGGCTGATAGCGTGAAGCACTTCCACAATCTCTAAACTGTGAGTATTATACTTATTACAAACAAAAGAATATGTCATACTTACAACATCAATATCTAAAGTAGGGAGACATTCTTCATGGAATGAATGTTTACAGTAAAACAGAACAACATTGCTGGCATGGCTTAGATCTATGGAAGAAAGAGAAGAGTGAGGAATTAATCTCTTATCATTCTACATTTTTCAGTGTAATCCATAATTTTATATTTATAAATACAATTACCAGTATGTAACTCTTACCATTTCTGTATTATGTAAACATACTACCGACTTTCTGAAGAATGTGTAAAATGTTCTGCTTAATAATCTCATTATTCTGAGGATTAATTCAATATAGATGCAAAGCAAGTTTATAAATTAATGAGAATTTCAAAAGTGAAATAACTGAAAACAGAATTATACTTTTTATTCTACTTTCCTTACTTTACAGGGAAAGATGTGTCTCACATTATTACTTCTGTCTATCTTACCTTACTAACATTTAAAGCAAGTGACTTACTACACACATCAGGCCACTGGAGGCTATTCCACCTTTGTATTTTTTATTTAACATCAATAATAACACAATGGTGTCCACATGAACTTCTGAAGTGACACTGGCACCATTTAATATGTCACAAAATGCAACCTGGTAACAGATCTTATAACACCTGGTAAGATCACTTTCACTGAAGAGTGTAAAACAATATGGGGGACAATATAAATTTTATATTAAGCTTCCAGCTTGATGCAGGACTCCTGGAACTACACAAGTGGCAGTTTGAACAAACATGGATCATAAACACGCATACTGATTATGTGTTACATATATTTTTCCTAAGTTCAAAATTACAACGTGTCAATGGCATGAAACTTAAATGTTACACCTGTCAAATTTAACATAGGCAAATTTTATATTAGTTGAAATGACGCACTGAACTGTATAATTACTGTAGATTAATGTAAAATTCTTGCCAATATCATCAGAAGGACTTCTACAATTCAAGTAAAATAAGAATTGTAAGTTCTTTCTAAAACTTCTTGTTACATACATGATCCTAGCTCACAAATGCAGTAACAGGTGATTTTACTGATTTCATGTGACACAGAAAACATATGAATCAGAGATAACTGGAAACAAAAACATGATGCAATTATGTAAAGAACAAGTACTGTACACACATTCCACTGCAACAGTAAAAATGAAATTACTTTATAACAGAAATAGAAAATTTACATACCTTTTACAATTATCTTCCTATGACATGCTCCACAAATTTGTTCATCTGCAATAGCAAAAAAATATTATCTATATCAGGCATGGAAAACCTTGCCCAATAAAGAATTAAAAGCACTTTAGTGTACATAGGAGCTCTAAATGTTCAAGATAATGATTTAAAATGTGCATGCACATGTGTGTGTATATATGTATATAAATATGTGTATGTTCTATTACATTCTATTTAACTATCGACACACCTTTTTATTTTGCCTAAAAATTAATTGAGATTTAAAAATAAAGTAATTCAAATTATCAGAACACTTCCACATAGGAACAGTGAAACTCTTGTCCAGGAAATAAATCATTTAAAATTCTATTATCTTCATGGTCCATCTTTAAAACTGCTCAAAGGCTTCTGCTGAAATTTCATACTTGGAATTTACACTGAAACCTGTCAGGAGAATTCAATTTTGGTTCATACTGAGCTAATATAACCCCTACTTTACATGAAGCTCAAACAAAACTACTGCATTTCCTAAAAGATTTCTCACTGTAGCCCCCCCCCCCATTCCAAATATATATAGCATATTATATAAAGTGTAATATATCCCATTAGGCTCTGAAAGTTTTATCAAATGTTGCTGGTTCCATAATCTCATGTACAACATGTCCTTTTAACTTATTTGCAACATGTTTCAACCAATACGGTCTTCATCAGGTGTTTAAAATTGAGGAAACTGCTGTGTTTCTGTTATTGTGGCTTCAGTTATTAATTTTTAATGTATGATCCTCTCTACGCACATGAGTATTCCAAGTGACGGGTTGTTCTTCCTGTTGTGCTGTGCTTTTTTGTCTTTTTTGCGGTGGAACCAGTAACATCTGATACTATGTGATATGCAGCAGGATGCTACAATATAATATTATTGAAAGTTTTATTTGAAACATTTGTCAATATGGTGAATATTTAATGAAATACATGATGAGAATTTCTGACTCTCATACACTGATATAGAGAGTGTAAATAAACATGTTACAATGCTCTGTGGTAGATAGATAGGTCCAATCTGATCATATTTTGTTAATACACCAATGTCCAGAAATGCTTCCTTTTAGCACTAAGGGCCACAAAAATTTCTGACAGAAGGAAAGAGACCATAGGAAAGGCCAAGGCGTACGTGGGTGGACAATATTAGAATGGATCTTAGAGAGACAGGATGGTATGGTATGGATGGGATAAATTGGCTAAGGACAGGGACCAGTGGAGGGCTCTTGTGAACATGGTAATGAACTTTTGGGTTCCATAAAATGCTGGGAAATTTTTGAGTAGCTGCAGAATTGGTGGCTCCTCCAGAAGGGCTCAGCTCCATGAGTAAGTATGCATAGGCTCTAGGGGATGTTAACATTTTACATTATAAAAGTTGCTTGAAATGGTGGCCACCAAATTCATTGCATGTTCTGCACTGCCTGGCTACGTTATGCTGAATGCTTTGAAAGATTCCCCGCATTTCCCGAATGGTTCCAGCTGCTACTGCAATTCTTGCCACAAGATCATGTTGTGTTTCCAATGGATTCTTGTACACCAGGCTACGCATGTACCCCCAGAGAAAGAAATCCAGTGGAGTCAAGTCAAAGGAGTGAGGGGGCCAGGTTATTGCGCCTCCATGTCCAATCCATATGTTGCCAAAAGTTTCATCTAAATACTCACGGACAACATTTGTGCAGTGTGCTGGGGCGCCATCATGCTGGAACCATATTTCACAATGGACTTCCAAAGGCACTACTTCAAGCAGCTCCGGTAAGGTCTCTTGGAGAAATGTTAGGTAAATGTCACCAGTAAGCCACAGAGGTAAGAGGTAAGGGCGTCCTTCACATTTCAGACACCCATAGCATGTAAACAAAGCGTTTCTGGACATGGTTGTATTAACAAAATATGATCAGATTGAAACAATCTACCTACCACAAAGCGTTGTAACAGATATTTATTTACAGCTTGTATATTATGTTATTTACTTTGCAACAATGAGCTTGTATCTTAACTAATTGAAAATTCGAGGCCAATGCAATATACAGTCACAAATGCATTTGAAAAATATCTGTACCCTACACTGAAGTATTCCTTTCCATTTGTTCTGTTCACTACAATAATATAATCTTCTGACAACCAGCTATCAGACTTGGGAATTCTCATTGTGACATGACTAACCTACCATCTATAGCAATGCCCCTCTGTTGCATGGAGACCAATTTTTCATGGAGATTGAAGTAATCAGACACCAGAATCTTTTTGCAGCCTTCCTGCACAGATACCTATAATAAAATTTACATAACACAGTATGTTAGAAATTTTACTGAAAGGATATAAATTATATAACTTCATTACTGAAAATTGATCAAAATAAGTGGGTGAGTGAGGGAATGCTGTATTATCCTTTGGTATGTGACTAACTTTCAATTCCCCTGACACCATGGCAGTTAATTTCCTTCTTACTTAAAAAATATAATATTCAACTTCTTATAAAATATTCAAATACATCTCTATGTATGCTGGCCATAAAAGAAACAAACTTAAAATACCTGTAAGTTGTAATCTTGCATCATCTTGACTAGAGAGTTCTGTAAGCCTGGTATTTTTAGGCCACTTTCAATTCTCTTAACCAAAATTCGAGGATCAACATAGGTTCCAATCTTCTGCAGTAAGAATGTTATAAAATCTGTGAAAAAACATACCAGTCAGTCACTGAAACTGATTCTTAAGAGTTATTTGATGATGCTGTTATAATTATGCATTTTGTACAGGACTGAATTACATGGGAAGGTGATCATGAATGGTGAGTACATCAGATTTTTGAAGAGAGTTATAACATATTTCATGGCATATCTAGCATTCACCCATACAGACTCTGGAAAAGCAGACTCTAGCTGAGATTCAGATTGCATATATCATGAATACAGAATTACTGCACTATCTGTACACTAACACATCTGTTAAATTTAACAATACTGTTTCAGTTGCAGAGATTATATAGCGTTCAATAAGATGAAAAATGATCATGAAAGTTAAATAAGTAAGGATCTGAAACAAGGTAATGTCTAGTTTAAAGGTAATACCCCAGCATTTGCCCAGAATTCACAAGAGCTATGCAAAACCAGTTAAATAAGTAAGGATCTGAAACAAGGTAATGTCTAGTTTAAAGGTAATACCCCAGCATTTGCCCAGAATTCACAAGAGCTATGCAAAACCAGTTAAATAAGTAAGGATCTGAAACAAGGTAATGTCTAGTTTAAAGGTAATACCCCAGCATTTGCCCAGAATTCAAAAGAGCTATGCAAAACCTTAATCAGGATAGTCAATAGGTGGAGCCAAGATTTAAGTATGATAATTCTTAAATATAAGCCTCCAGGATTAACACTGTACCAATCTGTTTGATGAATACATATATTATACAATTATATCTGTCTGTTGAATATACAACAAGATTCTACATCTCCTGGACGTTTTATTCACCATTTTCATAATCTTTTGGGTTCTTGCGCATGAGCTGCTCATGTCTCTTCTTGACAGTGTCATATATCAGGTAGGCAACCACAAATGGTGGTAGAACTTGAAAAATGTTGGAACAAATGCAAAACAAAATACTAGGGAGACTTTACTTTATAGCACCAGCAAATGCTCATTGTTCAAATGGCCAGAGTTGGTGNGTTCTTGCGCATGAGCTGCTCGTGTCTCTTCTTGAAAGTGTCATATATCAGGTAGGAAACCACAAATGGTGGTAGAACTTGAAAAATGTTGGAACAAATGCAGAACAAAATACTAGGGAGACTTTACTTATAGCACCAGCAAATGCTCATTGTTCAAATGGCCAGAGTTGGTGCTGAATGAAGCCTTGGATTTTGGCCAATTCAACAAAGTGTTTTCCCATTGCATTGCTACCTGCTTTAGCACCTCCTAACCTTATCCTCCAACCAAATATGTGACTGTACCACCCAGGAATAACAGCCCACCGATCCGTTAATACCACGGATGATCTGTTATATACAAAGTATATAATATCACAATATGCCATAATTCATTTAACATGCATTTGGCATGGCTTGCATCACCAACAAATTATTACAAACAGCCAAATCTCCACTTCTCATTTGTCACATACATGTTTTCAGTCCTCATAAATAATTCCATGTGTTAAGTGACCAGACATGGTGTATGAATTGGTAATCAGATTTACTGGACTCCTGAAACTTGTAATTACAGTTAATTATAACAATTTCACTGATCTACACACTTTACAGTTCACTATGACATGCACTAAGTCTTCTGCATCTTCACCATATGCTGCCTGGTAACAGCACCCAATGCCACAGATTTCTCAGCTTCTGTGTTCAATGGCTCCTGTCCTCACTGGCTGGCTCCTACCTCACAACTCAACAGTTCTTGCCTGGTTAGTCTTCTAAGGGCTATTCCTCATGCCCTAACAGTTCAGAGACTGCACTTCCTAACCACTGACTCCAGACTGTACTGCTCTGCCAATTGCCTCCTAGCCAGAGATCAGGACCTCCTTTCTCAGCCTGCTAACCACTGACTACTCGACTACTGAAAGCTCAAATTAGAGCTTATTATATAGCCTTGGGAACACTCCACAGAAAACACCACCTACCGAAGTTCCTCTATTGATGAGTGCATAACTGCTGCTGCGGTCACGTGATGGTCACAGACCACAGTGAAGCAATAAATGCTCACTCAATAGTACCACTGTGTGTGTATTGTGTCATAACCTATCAATGGATATTTCTTCACTGATTAATTATCCCAGATTTCGGCAGACATCCCACAATATTACCTTTATCATATACGTGTATATGCGTTGCACAATTGTGGCAGCACATGCGCAGGTTTAGTAAGACCCAATAAGAACAGCACTGCACTTTTTAAACATATATCCCATCACTGCCTAGATTAAATCTAGCTCCCAGCACCACAGTAGTAAGCGATTTAAATATGGTCCATATATTTTAATCTTTAAAAGATATTAACTGTAAACAAAAAAGAAGCTAAGTGTTACCATGTGACTATATCTTAATACTGTCAAATTATGAAAAAAGTGAGAAATAAAATTATTTCTTTAAATCATGCATTATGTTCAGAATAAATTACTTACCAGGTTTGTTGAGAGAATATTGTATCAGATCTTCCCAAAGTTCCATGTCATCATGTTCCTTGCAGAAGGCAATGGCCTGTTCAATGTCACTAAGTTCCTGGGTTATCAAAACCAACGCTTCCTTTGTATTCCCAATACGACCTGCACACACATAGTTTTCACCAACATTTGACACAACGTTTCACACATATATGTTCAATACTGCTTTAGTATCAAAATTGTTAGAACTACTAAGTCAAGGAAGCATGCATGATAAACAAGTGCATAACAAATGCTGTCTCAAGAGAAGAGACAAATTAGGAGACATAGGTATACATGCAGATGGCAAGGTAACATTAAGTTAAGTGGATCTAAGACAAAGAGGTCATGAAGTCTTAATTTGGATAGGGTCTAAAGGTGCACTTCGTGAAAATCTAAGAATAGAGTTCCATAACAGTGAATTCTCTGAACAACTGAGAAACTACCAGCTACTCTCAGAAAACAGTGTACTATGGGATTTACATGTTACTAACCTAAAAGATACACCATCTCAGGATAGAAACATCGCTGCTGACAGATATCCAGTGCTTGCTGGATGGGGTACTGGTCAGAGCGACGAAGGAAGGGCAGCAGTTTGTCTCTGGAAAAATCAGCATAAAGCTGAACTAAGAGTCCATGGTATTTTCGTCCTGATTCCCGAACATCTCTTTTGTCCAGTGCATCTAGATACTGTCAAACAGTCAAGTGAGTATGGTAATCAATTTTAAATGCTGTAGCAGATTATACATACAAATAAGATGCAGTGGTGTGGATTGGATTCATCTGGCTCAGGCGGGGGTCTTGTGAACACATTAATAAATCTTCAGTTTCCAAAACATACTGGAAATGTTTTGAGTGGATCAGCGACTGTTATCTTTTCACGAAGGACTTGGCTCCATGAGTCAGTCAGTCAGTTAGTTAGTAGATTATACTTATTATCCAACTCAAAACTTACATAAGATATGTACATATAACCACAATGCTCAATTTTATTATATATGTAACACACTAGTCAATGACTAGTACTGTGAAACAGTGGTAGCAATTTTTCAGCACTGGCATGCTGAGTTCAAATTTCATCTTTATAAAGTGGAACACACAATTAAGAGATTAGAAGTAAATAAAAGTAGATCATTGGTGCATGGGTACATTTATTATACAAACATACAGGATCTTTCCAAAAAGACACTCCAGTTTTAATTGCATATAAGTACCTAACTATATAGCAAACATCACGTCTTTATAGTTACACACTAATTTTACTTGGGCATAGAATTATGAAAACCTTAACAATTCAAAGTGAAAAAAACAAAAAACAAAAATTAACTTCATATATCATTATAGCTTTACATACTGAATGACTCTTGCATTACAAACTTGTTTAAAAAGCACACACTAAGATAAGAGGGTAATGATGTTTTTAACTTACCAGGTATAAATAATACTGGTTATTTTTTAGACGAGTTACCACGACTTCAGATGGTATTCGTTCCTTTTCTAGAAACATACTGATTGCTTGGTCCACATCAAGGTCCATGAGATCTTCTATCATATCATGGATAGCCCCAAACAAGTTATGTTTGTGAATAAGCTGAAACACATCTTTGTGACGTAACCTGAAATATAAAAATAGCACTATTTTGTGACTGTACATACATGGAAGGACTGTCAGAAAAGTGACTTCACACCATCACGTTACCCATAATAAAAGTAAAAAGTAAAGGCATCCCTGTAACAGGCCGTGGAGGCCCATAAGGTTGTGAGATGTTGAGGTTCCCACATTTTCTAGACGATCAGCTCACAGATGGCGGCAAGGTTGTCAGCCCTACACACCGGTCGCCTTTAACCCCTACGAAGATTCCAAGAATATTCCTGGTACTCATTTCTGTTAGAGGCTGAGTAGACCCCAGGGCCATAGTGCGGCTGGAAGGATTAGGTCAACTGATAAAAATCCAATGACCTCATCAGGACTTGAACCCGCAACCTTCCAGCTTGCAGCATAATGCCTCAACCAATTTCGCTACTGAGTGCCTTGTTACCCATAATAACAGTGGCAATTACAATCACCTATAAATTTATAACTAAGATTATATTATTCATATTACTGATCACACAGTTCAGCTCGAACAGTTAAAAATATATTTAACAGCGTTTCTTCAAGTGCACAGGTTACAGACAGCTGAATGAGAATGACAGGATGATGATGAATAATGATCTGGGAAGGTTGTGTAGGGAGGCAGTCCAGACATAAGATGGTTATTCAAAAAGTAACCTTTTATTTTAGGCAACTAATGCAGGAGCATGGGAGCGCTGGCATATGCAAGGTAATGTAACGTGGCTCATTGCCTTGTAAACCATAACATTACTGGTCAACTAGTGTTTGTTCTTGTCCCTACAGAGTGAGCTATGATGTGTCCTGTGATTGATAATCTTGACAGCTGCAAAATTAGTGTTGTTATCTACTTTCTTCAGGCTAAAAACATGAGTGCTGCAGAAATCCATGGTGAATTATGTGCAGTTTACAGCCAAAATGTAATGAGTGAAGGAACTATAAGATGATGGTGTAGAAATGTACAAAGATGAGTGAACAAATTTTCATGATGAAGAGTGAAGTGGTTGACCATCTGTACGAGTAATGATCTTGTTCAAAGTGTTAACAAAAAATTTTGTGAAAGGTAGCTCTTCACAATTTCAGAACTTTCGTGTGAATTTCCACAAATTTCAGGAACTCTCCTCTATGAAATTATCACACTTATGCTAGGCAATCACAAAATTTGTGCAACATGGGTTCCAAAAATGTTTCTTAGGTGCACATAAAATGCAGAGAATGGCTTCAGCCTTGACTTTTCTACAGCAATACCACAAAGATGGCAATGAATTTCTAAATCACATCATATGAGTAACAGGTGATGAAACCTGCCTTATATTTGTAAATGTTGAAATCGAAGAGCAGTCAAAGCAGTGGATGCATACATATTAACCAAAAGAGCCAAAAAAGTTTAAACAAACATTGTCTGCCTGCCAGAAAGCTGATGGCAACTATTTTCTGGGACAGGAAAGGGGTGCTGATGGCAGAATTCATGTAACAAGGGTCCACAATAATGTTAGAAGTGTACTATGTACACACGCCCACATCTAATAATGTACTGTGAAGTGTCGACATGCACTGTATCAAAGACTCCAATAAAAATGGTCATCAATCCAAAACCCGTCTATGCCACACTTTTATCATGTGACAATATTAAAACTGTTTTTAAAATGATGATTGAAAGATAATCTACTTCAACAGAAATAAAAAACGTTCTCAAATTATAGCTGACAGTACTCATTCTGTACCATTAATAAAGGAATAAGTTAGAAATTCACATAAAAGATAACCTCCAATCTAGTCCATAGTTACGGATTATTAAGTTAATTACTGATCAAAACATATTTATTTATAATGTTTACCAGATCCTGTATATACATATGCAGAACTCTGTGAATCACAGATTTTAAGAGGTATTTTATTGCCCATAATCATACTTATGTCAAAAGTTCATATGAGGGGACACCAATAAATAGGTCACAAATAGATATAAAACATAAAACATGTGATATTCAAACTTAGAAAAAACAATTATTTCTTGACATATCCTCCATCAACACTGATACATTTGTTCCAACACTCTACCAGCGAGAAGAAACCTGCCGCAAAGAAGTCTTTTGACTGTTGTCTCAGCCATTCAATAGGGCGACCCAGTTGGGCTTCATATGCAACTTTAAAATGTCCTTGAGAGAATTTCTCAATTCAGTTGTGAACCACTTAACACAACAAACACTGCCCATAGTAAACAGGAAACATTTCTTTATGAATATCCTTTGCACTGAGTCCTTCTGCACACAAAAAACGCACAGCAGAATGTTGTCCTTCCACAGTACACTCCTCAAGCATGGGCACCATTCTGACTAACGAAACCAGCCTCTGAACACGCACATGCACGTCTGCTACCTAGACTGTCATAAAGCTGGACTCTATTACCTAGTGACACACACACACAGAAAACCTATTATGTCCATTACTGCTATTTTACTTCCATTTGTGTCCTACCTACTGACTCTCCCTCGTATTTACACAACAGACTACATATAATTATGAATACAGTGCATTTCAGAATAATAAGATACTCACTTCAAATACATGGCAAAAGCTTTGTCATATTTTTTTTCATGGGAATATAAAATAGCCAGAGCTTCAAGTAATAATGTTTTATCAGAATCATTCACTATAAGGTGTTCCAAAACCGCATTAACTACAGCTGGTACATTGTACAGTGTAGGTGACCATTCCTTCACCAAATTCAGGAAACCCTGAAAGTAAAATGAACTTTCACAACCTTGGGTTAGGATCATGCAATTAATGTCCTTCATATGGACAGACAGTAAAATAAGAGTCTTATATTGCTGTGAGAAACTTAATTACCTTTATACTGATTGAAAACATGATAACGCCAGATTGTAACAGCCTGCAATGAAAACGGCAAAATAAAGAATATAGAGCACACAGAATCTGTATGATGATTACAATCAGCATGCTGTTAACACATTACATTATAGGTAGAACACATATAATGATTAACAGGTAGAAAGATTAATATCAAACAGTTCTGAAGATGTGGTACACATGTGGTTTCAGCACTGAAGGCATATTGCTTATTGCACTGCATACAACATATGGGCAGGTACACCTAAATTGGAATTCATCCAGATCAGAAGTGGTTAGATGTGAAACCTATTATGTTTATGGTCTTCTACAACATGATATCAAGTAATTTGGTAGATGGTAACTGACATTTCAGAGAAATGTACTGCTTCCAACAGGTTCCTCCAAAACATTAGTTAGCATCTACTAGACTTACATGATGCCATACCCAGATGACAGTAGACTTCAGTCACTGCTCTAAGAACTGCAAATCTCACATGCAAAACCTAGTTTCTATAATGAAACACAATGGGCAACAAAGAATGTGCAACCATTAAAATCACAAAATGAGTTTCAGGATCTAGCAGATATTTTGAGGCAAAAGAACAGAAAGGTGAAACCTATAACTTTTAACAACACATAAGGGAACTAGGTAGAAGAATTATTAATATACACCATAAATTACTTACACAAGGTTATGATGAAATGAGTGTTTAAATTTCCCCCATCATATTTTGGTATGTTAACCTTTACTTTCTACATTTTATTAACATCTTAAATATTGCCATAACTTTACAGTTATAAATGCTATGAGGTACTTTTATCTTTAATGACACTGCCATAAGCATTTACATGGCACAAAACAGGTTAACTTATTTAGAAAAGGAGGAAGAGGGAGATAGAGCAACAGTAGCTTAGAATATTATAAACAGATTGCTTCAAAAAGACTCATCTAACATGGTCAAACTTTAAAATAGTCTAATCACCTGAGGTTCCATTTTGAGGTATTCATACAGCACCATTTCATAGATATGAGGCTCAAGCGCATTGTCTCCTCGAGGCAGATAACGACTTACAGCCCGCAGCTGCTGTAATCGTGCAAATTTGAACACTTCCTCTTCCCATCGACGTTTATCCTTTCCTAAGTAAAACATATAGGATTAACTTAACCCCTTATGCCATATTTAAGCCCCTAATAAGTTATATATGGCAATGGTAACTAGCACTGTAGCAGACACTTCTTATATCATTTTCCATTACTGCATACTTTAAGAAGTGTTAAAGAGAATTTTATGAAATGGTCAGGATTTTTACAAACTACCTGAAATTTCATGCAACATAATGGTATTGTAACGTGTTTACATTACTGATCCCACTTCTGACACCAATTGTCGCGTATCGGGCGTATATCGCGACAAAGAAATTCTCGATGTATTCGATGTAGCGAATTTTATTTCACATTCGCACTTACAATCACCCAAATTACAGCTTTACGGTTACTGCTATCTGCAGTATCACAATTAGTACACTCCAAATGCCACAATACAACTGACTGGCTGACTGACTCTGAATACAACTCGACCCGGCGACTGTTACAGTACAACTGACTGTGAATAGCCTTCGCTTCTCCCTATGTAGCCTCGATCGGACAATACGGCCACGTAATAGGCACCCTTGTTGCTAGCCACGCTGTCCGGTTACGTCACCGCTGTTGATTCGCCTTGCATAGTTACCCGGTTACGGGGCTCGGCTATCTTCGGCTCCGCTCGTGACGTCACCGCGCATGGCTGCCAGGATGCGGGGTGATTACTCGCCTATTACGCGAGCGTTACGTTACCGCTGAGGGGTGGGAGGGGAGCGCTGACTCACCCGCCGCGTCACTGCTGGTGTGGGGGGGGGCTCGGCTTTGCGCAGCATGTCACAGTATGATAGATCTTGAAACACTCCACAATGCACAAACCTACTGCAGAGTCCTTACACCAAAATGAAGTATATTTTCTTCTTTTACTTATCCTGCAGGAAACTCCATATCCTTTCCTGTGCCTAACCTTCTCAAATGTAGGTATCCTTCCTACAGAATAGCTTGAGGTCAGTCATTAAGGTGCTAGTGTTTTCAATGGTCTTCCAGGATGAGGAGGTTCTAAAGCCTTCATATAATTCTTCATTACTTAAGCCTGGAAGCCACACAGTCTTCTTCTTATGATTTGGGAAGCACAAAGGCATTATGCATCAAAATATTTAGCAGCCACTTAAACAGTTTGTGTGACACTTTGTGCTTCTCTTTCTCTCAATTTCATAAGACTGATCTTTAATATCTATTCCTTCCATAAACACCTTGTATTCCTGCACATGTCTTGCTTCATTTAGATTCTTTCCTCTCTTTGAAACTGCCAACATGACATCACCTTGAAATTTGGAAATGAATGATATGGGCTTCTTGTCCATCCACTTCATCACCATCACTCCTTTACTCTGCACAGTAATATGTTTGCTCTGTTTTTAGTACAGTGAGTGAGTGAGTCAGTGAGGACATACTCAGGCTGCTGTTAACAGTGTAGTTTAAAGCCTGACAAGTATATATTCAGGTTACCAGCCACTGTCTAACAATGACTGTCTCTTCTGGTTCTACTATCCCAGTTTTCATCAGGCATGTCATAATATTAAAATGAATCTTACAGAAATAGGATGGGGTGGTACTGAGTGGATTAATCTGGCTCATGATACACACCAGTGGAGGACCATTGTGAATGTGGTAATGAAACTTTGTGTTCCATAAGATATTCGGAAATTCTTGAGTAGCTGAGTGACTGGCAGCTTCTCAAGAAGGGCTCAGTTCCATGTAGTTGGTTAGGAAATTAAAATACGAGGTGTGTTCAGGAAATAACGGGAATTTTAAAATTTCGCGGGTTTGGAGAGTCCAATTGTCAAAATTTTTTTTTATTATGTTGGTATACATGCCCCTGAAGTACAATAAAATTTTCAGCTGTATTCATTGCTTACTTTGTCTGTGGCAGCCGCTAAGGTTAGACGTGTTTTTATGAGCTTGGCGATTTTCGTTTGTTAAAAGAAATGGATCAAAGAATTTGTATCAAATTTTGCGTAAAAAATGAAATAAAGTGTTACAAAGTGTGTGAAATGTTAACAAAGGCCTATGGTGAGTCTGTTATGAGTAAAACAAGAGTTTACGAGTGGTATAAGCGTTTCCAAGATGGCCGTGAAGACGTTGCAGATGACGAGCGCCCCGGACGCCCCAGCACATCAACAACCGATGAAAACGTGGAAAAAGTGAAAGCAATGATTATGAATGATCGCCGAATCACAATCAGAGAAGTCGCTGATGATGTTGGCATATCGATTGGCTCATGCCATGAAATTTTTTCGAATGTTTTGGGTATGAAACGCGTGGCAGCAAAATTTGTTCCAAAATTGCTGAATTTTGAACAAAAACAGCGGCGAATGGAAGTTGCTCAGGAATCACTAAAGGAAGTCAACGATGATGCAGAATTACTGAAACGTGTTATAACAGGTGACGAAACATGGGTTTACGGATATGACGTTGAAACTAAGGCTCAATCGTCTCAGTGGAAGCATCCTGGATCGCCAAGACCGAAAAAGGCTCGACAAGTGCGTTCGAACGTGAAGGTTATGCTTACTGTGTTCTTCAATTTTAATGGCATAGTGCATCATGAATTCTTGCCTCAAGGTCAAACGGTCAATAAGGAGTACTACCTGAAAGTTCAACGCCGTTTGCGTGAGGCAATCCGAAAAAAACGCCCGGATTTGTGGAAAAACAATTCATGGCTTTTGCACCACGATAATGCACCTGCTCACACTTCGTTGCTTGTTCGTGAATTCTTGGCCAAAAACAATACTGTAACGATGCCCCAGCCTCCATATTCGCCAGACATGGCTCCGTGTGACTTTTTCCTATTTCCAAAAATAAAGAGAACCTTAAAGGGCCGTCGTTTTACAAGCATAGATGACATTAAAAGCGCATCGCTGAAAGAGCTAAAGGCTATCCCAAAAATCGAGTTTGAGAAGTGTTTCGATGATTGGAAGAAGCGCTGGCGTAAGTGCATAATATCGAATGGGGACTATTTTGAAGGCGACAACATTAATGTAGACGAATGAATAAATATTTTTTCCAAAATACGGAAATTCCCGTCATTTTTTGAACACACCTCGTATATGGTGCTTGGAGTGGTCATCAATGACATATGTTTATACCAAGAGAAGTCTTAAAAATCTAAACATAATAGGCTTTTCCTTATTATCAGTAATTTTATCGAAGTATCAAGACTCACCCAGGATTTTAAGACAAAGTTTACCAGCTTCATCAAATTTCTGTTCAAACAGAAGATGATCCAAATAGGCGCGTCCCACTTGCAGTAATGTGTGTCTCTTTAAATCACGGCCTTCAAACTGAGTTACAGCCTCCATTGCAGCCTCATATTTACTGTAATAAATAAGTGTCTTATTGTCACTATAACAGAAGTTAAACCTGGAACCATAAGGACCTGAGAACTTGGTAACCAAATTTAAATACTCTGTGAAGTTATAATGACCATATATTTTCTTGATTACTACATACCCATGTTCAATTAGCCACTGGACACGGTCGTCTGCATCATACGGACTAGCCACCACAACATCTTTTGGACTTACAATGAAGAATCTATTTTCTTCTATCAGACATTCTGAAAATAACATATTGGCATCATTAGTATCTAATGGAAATTGGCAAAATTTCCCTGTGCCTAAACATCATGCCAAGATTGATATTAAGATGAGAAGAGGTTAAAGCACTGCACAATCTTAACCACTGCACTACATGGAGGTCAGATAGATCTACAAATTGTGACATGGCGCCTGAAAGCCGGAATGGAGTCAGAGGAGATGGTCATTGCTGGAGACCTACTAGGTAAACATTGTTCCCACAGCAACAAATGAATATACAGATTACTGTGGCAATGGATATGCAGATTACAACAGACAATCTATTGTAGTGGGTGTTTTCTATATGATTCTCCCAAAGTTATGGAAGGAGAGGGCTCTGCCAGAAAGATAGAGTTTGAGAAAGAGAATTCCAGAGGATTGAGGATGGATGCTGAAGACGTGTTTTCATGTGTTACAGTTACAGTAATCTAGAGAGTGTTAGAACTAATTGTAGTTACAACTTGTGACTATCCATTAAATTGATTTGCCAATCGAAACCTTGTATATAAGCCACTAATACTTGTGATAACCAGTGTCAGAAGTGGTTGGATCAGATTGTATTGGATTTACCAGCAGTGGACAAAACCATAAACACGTGACATCTTGGTGTCAGAAATTGGTGGTTTGGATCATACTGGATTCATCAACAGTGGTTATGACCATAAGTATGTGACAATTTGATGTCAGCAGTCACACAGCCATAAACTCATAACAACTGAAAACTGTGGAATAAGTTGTTATGCAATGGACTGAAGATTGAATTGGGTAGTGTTAGTATGAAAATGGAACAAACGAGCAACAAATATGGGAAATGACAGCTGTAAGGCTGTCTCGGATAAACAGAGGAGAACTAGAAGAGGTGGACACCTATTACACAAAGCTGGAACTATTGTGGGTCAATATAGGACCAACGTTTCAACACAAGCTAGTGACAGTAGCAAATTAAACATCATGGCAAAGTGAGTAGCATTCTAAGTTCATATCTGGGAGGTCCTGGGATCAACTCTCTGCCCAGAGAACAGCAATCCTGAATAAGGTCTTTTGTGGTTACCTTTAGTCCTTCTAGGCAAATGTCAGGATAATACCTTAGACCATGACCACTTCCTTCCACATCCTTTACAATTTATTATTTACTGAAGATCCCATCATTTAACACCATATAACCTGAGCTACTGAAACTGTCACTAAATAAACCACAAATAAATAGCTAAGTAACGTGCACTATCCTTGGCCTGAGTAACAGACTAGGTCATCCAGCACATTAATACCGCGTCAGTCATCTCAGATCCACTACTGGATGGAAACAGGTGAAGAAATTATGTATTTTTCATCAAATATTACCTTAAATTTCCTTCAGGAAAACTATAAATACGTATGTGATGGTAATTCATTCCAAAACTATGACAATGCTAAAAATATACCACAAACACAGCATTATTTTAAAGCTAGTCATTACCCTAATATAATAAATCCTCAGTAATCCACATTCACAGAGAATTTGGATTAATGAAGCAAAAGATAACCCTACTAGAAAAAAAATTAAAAAACAAATAAATGGAAAATTTAATAACATAGGTAGTGCTGATGAAAATAAATAAAAAATATCACTGCAGCAATTTCTTCCTCTGTCATAAGCTGAATTCCAGAGTCTCCTTCATCCAGCTCAAGTCAATCTTGGATACTTTCTTGTGTGGTTTTACACTCTCCAGCTGCCCTCAGCACAGTCCCAAAGTCATCTTGCTCTAATCCCCGTTGCTCCTAAATCTCATATGTCTTTTACAGTATGTACTCAACTATGAACAGAATTTGTCATTTTTCATATTTTGATCTGGATTACCTGACATCTGGATTAATGAGGGTTTACTCTACCATCATCCTATTCGTACCCAATGTGAACATGTTATTTCATTTTGGACACAAATGGGCATTCTGTTCATGTTTGTAATCATATTTCATGGCAGCAACAAGAATTAATCTTCCAATTTGTTTTTAAATTTTAATGCCTATTACTGAATAGACTGTATACAGGATGAATAAATAATGACTTGACTACAGTTAAGTCTGCCTGAGAAATATCCTTCCCCTCCTCATGTTAATGGACTTATACTTTCGGTGTATTTCGCATTAAACACTGTGATGGAGCACATGAAATTTGGTATGGTACAGGTATGGGTAAAAGGTAAAGTTGTCCCTATGCTTAATTAACTAAGTACCATGCCAAGAAGATGTATCTGGAAGTGGAAGCACAGCTCCACCATTCTTGACCTTGGCACTAGATGTGAGTGAGTGGTTAGTTCACATCAAAGCCACTTTACACAATGGGAAAGAGCCCCTTGTATCCATTTCATAGAAGGCAGGGTAAGCCACAGAGCTGGTCTGGACTGAGTAAAAAAAATCTATTATCCCTGCTGAGAATCAAGCCCTGGCCACCCAGCCTATAGCCCGTTACTATACTGACTGCACTATGCTGGTATGGAGATTACAAGGGTCTCTTAAATTATATTTTAGTATTTTATGTGTTCAAAACTATGGACATGATAATAGCATGACCTTCATTATTGTTTTTCTCTAAAGAGCAGAATCATTCCTTTACTATATTCTTACAGACTTCACATATTTATTGCAGTTATTATGGGTACGACTTTTTATTTAAATCTGTGCTTCCTACATCCCAGGATACCGTAAGATTGACAAATTTTTATTGTTTTAAATGAAGAGGTCATATGCTGCCAAGTTTTCCTTGTAAAGGAAGAAATATAATTATGTACCCTAAAGGTGTGTGTATACTTTGGGCTATAAAACAATCACTATAGATTAAAAGAAAAAAATTATATCTACTGTCACACTCACCAAGGTGGTAATCATTACACTTATATTCTTGATAGCCACGCAGGGACAAGGAGTCTGTGCAGATCTCCACGTAATCTTCTGTCCTAGGCTCAACAACATAAAGCTGAGGTCGTTGAGCCTTGCCATCCAAGTCGGGCTCTTTCACATAGCCAAGAAGAACTAAATGGTTATCTAGCGGACCAATTCCACAGATGTAGAACTCAGCAGTAAATGTAGATACTGCAAAATTCAAAATTCAATTCTAAAAATCTCAAAGTATTCACATTTTACTGGAATATGCTGCTTCCATTTTCAGGATTGAAGTGTGTAGAGTAAGGAACTGGGTTGGTTATATAGGAAGGCTGCAAGGAAGGTGGTCACTCAAACCTACAGGAAGGGGTAATGCAATGAAACCAAATTTGGGTTAGGCCAATTTCAAGTGAACAAGAGGGAAATGGGTTTGTGAGTAGACAGCCCTATTCATCGGCAAAATATTGTTTTCTGCCAAGCAGAAGAAGTGAGATTGTGAGAACAGACAATCATTTTCAGGCCCCTCTTATATTTTCCTCATAGAAGGAAAATTGGAACACTGAGAACTGGGGCAGGCCAGCTCCTCAAAATACTGCATAGTNCAGACCTTAAGGCAGAAGTGCTCAGCATATAAGCAGAGAGAATTTCTAACATTCAATCAAATAATATCAGCCAGCTCCTCAAAATACTGCATAGTCACAGTAAGGTCCAAAGTTTCTAGGACCAAATTTAACACAATGTGATGGCCCTTAGGCTGAGTTCCTTCCAGGTTTTAGCCAGCGAGAAATGTCCACTATGTGACATCATCTGAACTTCTCATCAGTCCAATTGCTTGTTTCACTGTTTACTGGGTCATGTGGCTAGCGAATATGACTTTAAAAAGTTTCTGTGAATGTGCTGAATATCGTTTAAGTTAAAATGTATTCGTCCTTAATTATGGCAAAGAAACATAAATGTCTAGATCTTAACATGAACCTTGAAATTATACATCTCTGTGAAGTGAAATAAGAAAATGATAATGAATGTCTTCTTCAACAATGTTCTCCATTTTTAAAAATACTATTGGCTGTTCCATGCAATGGAAGATTAGTGAAACAAAGTTAATGTACTCTAGAGAGTGACAATTTGGAATCCAGTCTCTTCAAGTGGTTCTGCCAGAAAACTCAGCTGCCATTCTAGCTGATGGGTCAATGGCCACAGAAAAAGCCAACCAAAGAATTTTGAAGACTGAGAACTTTAAGTATTTAAAGTTCCAAACAAAAAATAAGCATCAGCATGGACAAAGCATCAAGCAAATAATGTATTTAGAACACGCCTGTAATGCATCATACATATAGTTAGTGCCTCGTTACTATAGAACTTTAGAAAGGTAAATGCTGTTGTGGAGCACGCGAAGCTGTACACTTGCTGTGGTGACATTCAAAGCTACTCCCCAAGTGGAAAACATTGCCTATGGAGACCAGCTAACAAGTAACACAAAGTACTATACACCTGACCACACTCCAAACTGGTAGTACCCATGCTGACATAAGCTGATAAGACTGCCCCCCCCCCTCCCCAGCTCCACAAGAGATGGTATGACCCCTCTACCACAGCTAGAGTTCCAAGGAACTACAGTACATATGAGTCTCTTTTACTTTGTGTGTTACTGGCAAACAGCAAATAATGGGGAAGACTTTTGTTTGTAAAGGATAGCTCCCAGTAAGCAATCAGGAGTGAGTACAAAAGGTTATGCAGACATACGAACATCTTCAACTTCTTGGTTCAGACAATACTAAAACACAAAGAACATTAAATTGTTCATTACTCTTATAACTGTGATAAATCTTACCATGCTCTTCTTTTGGTACAGCAGGCCCACACATTATTGTCAAAAAGTTGTAAACAGATATTCAATACACATTAAGGTGTGATATTACTACAGACAACAATATCTGGTAAAATGTGTTTGCAAGGAACAGGAAAACAGCGCTTTTTACATTTGGTAGCTCAATGAAGAATTTATATGTGACAGTACTTCATCAGCTTTAACTGTAGTGAATATTCATTCAAAAATATACTTATCCAAGCTCCAATACAATTCCTTTGTAAGTACACTCCAATGCATTCAAACACCAGAGTAGTCCACACTAATTTAAATTATTATCAAAATGACTAACTTCAAATGTGCCACCTGGCTCTACTACAAACTCAGGTAGTTCTCTGTTGGCGAGCTCAGCCAAGCTGCGTTTCCGTATCATACAGATTCGCACTGTATCTACCCAACCTACAAGAAGGGTGGTTGAATTCTTCCAACACAAATTGCAACGGTAATACTCTGGTAATGCACTGAAACAAAATGTAAAATTGGTTATGATATTTATATAATTTTATTCATTTGAAAAAAAAAACAGGCTTTGTAACAATTCTTTTTTAATTGGCTTAGTGGGGGGTGGAGTCCAACTGGGTCCACTCGACACAGCAGTCACTGATTGGCCTAATGTAGCCTGCCTCGGGTCATTATGATGATGGAGAATTTGGTGGAATGAAGATTAGCAGGGGAAACTGAAGTACTCAAAGAAAACCCGCCCCAGCTCCACTTTGTCCACCACAAATCCTACTTGACCAGACCCGGGATTGAACCCAGGCTGCCACGGTGGGAAGCCAGCGACTAACCACTTGAGCTATGGCATGGCCGGCTTTGTAACAAACTACACTGTAAAATAAACTGCCATTTACACTTATTTTCACTTCATGGATCCAATCACCTCCCCGTAGGGCTAGATATATAACATGTCACACATTACAAATTCATGATGACTACATGTCATATGTTCTTGGTCCAATGAAATATATAATCAGGCCTCACGCAGACAGCTCAAGTTGTCAAGACAACACACATAGGCCATGGGAAAACCACTGTTACATTCAACCCTGAACAAAATCCCTCATATTTCCAACCATAACCACTCTATGCTGCACAATTGCACACCTTGCCATTCCACATACATTGGCCAGCCATATCATTATTTCAGTTTCATTGTAACATATTAAAATTCATAACAAACACAGACATCATACATACTACTACACTTACAACAAGCAAGTCTCAACAACGTATAATACAAGCACACAGACCATTTACTAACTCTTAACTTTTGAGCCTCTTGCATGCTTGACAAATTCATCAACAGAGTACAATGAGTTACTTTGCAAATAATTTTGTAAAACAAACCTAAACTGATTTTTATCCTTTTTTAAAGCTGAGATATTTGACGGCAGAATGTTAAATAGCCTGACGCCTGAATAATACACCCCTCTGTGACAGGATGATAAATGTGTTGTAGGTATATATGAAGGTGGCCACTCCTTCTTGTACCAATCATATATACAGAGTTAATGGCCTGAAACTTATCCAAATTATTAACAACAAATGTCATCACTGAGAGCAAATATACATATGGGATTGGTGGTATGTCAAGCTTTTTAAATAATTCTGCACATGTACGAGTTGGGCCCACTCCCATCATTATTCTTATTAATTTCTTTTGCATAACAAAGACCTTATGAACGTCTGATGTATTTCCCCAATATATGTATTATTTCATATTTCAACAATGAATGATAATATGCATAATATACATCTTTATGATTATTAATATTTAATTGTTGCCATTAAAGTCAACTTTGTGAAATATATAACAGTACGAGTTTCTATGGTATTTAAACAGAGGGAAAATTACAAAAGCAAATGCAGTAAGCTAATGTATAAGTATTGTAACATGACACCTAAGAGCTAGCATACTGGAGTCAGAGAAGAGTCATGGGGGCATGAATTGCTATGCAATGACTTGTTAAAACATGTTTTCATGGCAACAAATATATACACAACAGTCAGTCCATGAAAAAGACAGAACAGCCAGCAACTCCCAGAATTGTGAGAGATTACAATATGGTCATGAGTCCCAAAGGACTCAGAACCAAGAATGATTGTGCTGGCAAGGGCCAGCAACCATTTACCCAACCCCAACTGACCCCCTCAGAACTGGAGCCAACGAGTACAGAAACATTTGGGAGAATCCCCATTACTGGAGGCTGCAACCAAGCAATGAATACTTGAAGATATAGCACACTGGAAAGATTTGGAGTGTGGTTTAATTATTTGTAGATTGTGAAGAGTAGTAAAAGTGTTGTAATTATGTGCAGTTAAGATTAATTAGTATCCATTCAACTCAATTATCAATCCAAATCCTGTGTTTAGTCCCCCACCTGTGACAGTATAATTCTGGATTCAATAAATATCACTCCCTGCTCACCAAATGACAGCTTTACACTTTCTTAGGTGAGCTCAAGTGTAGGGATTGTACTGTGTGGTCAAATGATAAGGACAAGTAAGAAAGCAGTAGTAGCCTATATCAAGGACTGAGGAATACTATTTAAATTTTCCAAAAGGACAGCTTGTGGCCCTCTCAAAACTCAAACTGGCCAGTTGCAAGTAGATGTAGTAGAGCTACCCTAGTCAAATATTAAATCTCAAAATACGTATAAACATAAAAAAGGTAAAGTTATCCTTTTAACAGGCAGTGGAGGCCCACAGGGTTGTAGGTTGTTGAGGCTCCCACATTTTCCAGACAAGCAGCTTACAGATTGTCAGTCTTGTGCGCTGGCTGCCATTCACCACAGGAAAAGTCCTTGTATTCATTTCTGTTAAAGACTGATTTGACCCCAGGACCACAGTGCTGCTAGCAGAATTAAGGTAAATTTGTCTCTGTTCTTAACTAAGCACTATGCCATGAAGGTGTATGGGGGAGTGGATGTATAGGTCCACATTTTCTTGACCTCGGCAATATGGAGGTGAGTGGTCAGCTTCATGAACTGCCCGTTTTACCCCCAGGAAAGAGCCCCCAGTACCCACTGTATAGGAGGTTCATTGGACCCCAGAGTCAGTCTGGAAGACATGTAGAAGTGAAAATTCTTTACCCTACCAGGGCTCGACTCCAACCTCTCAGTCGTCCAGTACATAGTCAGTCACTATACTGACTGCACTATCCTGGCTCCTGCTGGAAGGATTAAGTCAATAGAAAAATCCAATGACCTCATCAGGAATCAACCCCCTAACCTTAATCCTGTAGCACAGTGCCTCAACCAACTACATTACCACATGCCCTTATGTCATAAACAGCTTTCTTTATCATGGTTACAGGGAAAAGCAGGATGCATCAGCAATGACAACCCACACAATGACAAAATAGGTTGAGAACCACTGCTCTAGCTTTCTTCCTTCTACAAAAAGTGACCACTCACTCTGGATTTCTATTCCATTTGATGAGGCCTAGAGAACACCTAGCATTGATGTCATACACTCGGACACCGATGTCACTAGCCCATGCCACAAACTGACCATTCCACTTAATATTCTGCACTCCACCCTCAGCTTCATATAAGACAGTTGACTTTAGTCGAGATAAGAAGGTCTTCTCATGCAGAACCAGCCGTTCATCTCCTACACAGAAATGTAAGGAAATGTGGTTACATGGATCATTAATTCATGAAAAGTTCCAAAGTACAGTGGAACATTGCTTAACGAGCATAATTCGTTCCAGAATCTTACTCGTAATGCGAAACAATTTTTCCCATATAAATTAATGTAAAATGTGATAATGCATTCCATGCCAAAAAAAATACTCAAAAAATTTTATGTATGTTTATTCAAAGAAAATTACATATATACATTGTTAAGGAGCATGAATCATCTTCATCTTTTCTTCTATGCGGAATGAACCAACCTGGAATGCGAATTCGATTTGCAGAAAAGCAAAAAAAATCCATATGAGGAGCAACCTTTCAACATCGTCGAGAATACATAACCGTTGCGTAGATATTCTTGTCACTCCCTTTGAAGCATCTATCTCCTTAATCTTGTCCTTGTTCTTGAGGATAGTGCAAATCGTTGATGTAGACCGACTGTATGTGCGTGCTAGATCAGCCACGCTCACACCTTGTTCTCGCTTTTCAGTGATTTTACGTTTCACTTCTACGGTTATTTTATTCTCTTGTGGCACTCTTTTTGCGGCTTTTTCTTCAGGGACATTTTTGCAAGGGTTATTAAACTTTGCACAAAAAAAATCACAAATAATATGTCTGAACACAAGTTTGAAAAAATGTGTGATCACAAGCGACACTAAGATGCTAGCGGAACGAGTGCTAAACACAGGCTGATGTAGCAAGCGCACAATCCGGGACTTCCCCTCTCGTCACTCGTTATGCGAAACGTCGCTCGTTAAGCGAGTATTTTTTTNTACAATTGTTTTGCTCGTTATGCGAATTACTCGTTATGAGAGGTGCTCATTAAGCGAGGTTCCACTGTACAATATTCTAACATATTCTAATGCAAGAAGTCTATATTGCTCAATGTCCTTTCCCACCTGCAAATGTATGGTAGTTTTGTAATTATAAAATTCAGTACCATGAACATTGCAGTATTAATAACAGATACCTACAAGTATCTTTACCACATATTTAAGAATTCTTTACTGCATTCATTTTTTCTTCAGTCTGCTTCACACAAATATTTTTAAAAAGTTGTTCAAAAATTTAACATTATATGTTCCAACTTTCTCAGTGTATGCTACATACATACCACCTAATTTCTCTTCCCTTCTAGTTTGTGGAAGATTCTTCACTACTCCTCTAAAGCTTCATTCCTACATATCACACATCCTTCATCCACCTGCAGCTCATGAACACCCTTCTTTGCCCTTCCCAACCACTGTAATCAAACACACTCTCTCTCTTAATTCCCTCTATCACTCGTGGCCTGATTCTCAGTCACTTTCTATATAACTCTCAATCCCTTTCCAAATACCTCTGACCTTGCTCACCTGTAATGAACCTTCGTCCTGAACCAGACTTGTAATAGTTAGGGTCAATGGCTATTGATTTGACAAGACGGCCAATGACCATATTATGGTTGTTTTCAATTGAATAAAGACCATAGATGAAAACCTGTAATAAATGGTAAACTGGATTATCAGTGTTTTGCACATACCAACTAAATTATGGTCCTGTATGATAACAAATAAGTTGTCCTGTAAGCTGTCCACATAAAATACAATCATTTTCAGATAATTCATTTTACATGTTTTCCATGCATCCATGCTTGACTGTTTCATCNTTGGATTATCAGTGTTTTGCACATGTAATATTATGGTAAAATTTAAATACCAACTAAATTATGGTCCTGTATGATACCAAATCACAAATAAGTTGTCCTGTAATCTGTCCACATAAAATACAATCAATTTCAGATCATTCATTTTACATGTTTTCCATGCATCCATGCTTGACTGTTTCATCTGTTCAACATAACCACACATTTACAAAAGCAGACATGTATGAACTTGGATTTCATCCATTTCTCATCTTACAGGAAGAGGATATTGAAATTTGGGAGGAAACGAAACTTGTAAATTGTTCTGATCTGTGTGAAACCTTTTGTATATTATATTGTAATATGCATAAAATGAATACAGAATGCAAAGAAAGAAATTGTGTCTTTATTATAACGAACAAGCCTATGATGTTAATTCAAAATTAGGAGCAAGTGCTGATCAGATAATCATCATATACAATCATCTATTTTCTATATGCCAACAATTTTATTGGGAACAGGCCATTAAGAAAACTTAAAAATGAACACATTTGAATACAGAGGACCGTCTTCTTCAGCGTTATATCTCAACTTGGGCCAAGGCATTTGTAAATCATTATCAAGATAAGCAATTCAGTTCCTTGGATCAGATCACTGCAAGGCATTACTATTACAGAAGAGCACAAAATGCAAACACCCTAGGCCCAAGGGAAATGTGAAGCCACAAACCCACTGTTTGAGTGGTATAATATGACGCCCATTTTTGAAAATGTGGTCACTCAAATTGGAACCAAGACCATGATATATTATGACTGTCATCACTGCTAAATGACATCCTCATTGGAAATCCAGATTCATGTAGCAAATGATTTACAAAAACTTCTACAGTTAAATGCATTCACAACTGTTCTACAATGAACATACTTTCCCATCATCAGAGCAGCTCGCAATAAAATCTCCATTTTGGTCAATACTGATTTGATTAACAGCAACAGTATGCGCTTGCAGCTCCTTGTTGCGTACATTGTTTCCTTGATGATCAAGCAAATGGATCATACCCCA